TGTTGGTCGCGCACCAGCACGTCGCAAAGATTCTCAAAGCCAGTCGGAACGTGAGAATGAGCGGACTCGCGCCGGTAGCGAGGAAGCAGGGCAACATGCTCCAGCAAGGAAGAGACCTATTGGGGCTGTGACTGGTGCTTCTGATGCAGTTGCCATGAAACGGCCTCGGTCGTCAGAGGTATCGACACACTCGAAGCTCGCCACGCCAGCAACACCGTCCAAGAAGCCTGCTGCCATGTCACGAGTGAGCTCGACGAATTCTGTAGTGCAAACGCCAATAGAAGCAGTCAACTCGACTCCCTCAGCGTCAGCCTCAGCGTCTGCAGACCGTCGTCCCAACGGCAGTGACGCTGCTCCCAAGGCAACAAGCGCAGAAGCCAAGGCCATGAGCGACAAGGTAGAGCGGCTGAAAGAAGTGGGAAAGAAGTTGAAACACGAAGCCGATCAAACGATGAAGAGATTCCGCGGCGACACGGGGAGCATGAGAGGCAAACCTGGAGAGGCCAAGGTCAAGTCTGGCTTTGTCCTGAGCCTCGAGAGCATCATTGTGTTCATGATGGCATTTTACGGAGCAGACATTTGGCGCGGCATGGACCACAAGATTGGAGACCATCGCGCATGGCTGAGCATGCTTCCCATGATTGAGTTTCTCAAGAACGAAATGCGCCGCTGCGACGTCAGCAACAGCCAGCCACTGTATGCCATGGTCCTCATGCTACACGCCATGTCTCTGGACGAGTTGATCAGGTGCTATATCCGTTTTGACAACCTCAATGATGCACTCGGCAAAGAGATTGTCGCGAGATTGCGCGAGAAGAATAAGATATGGCCGCGCGTTCACGAAGTCTCCTCCGCCATCCAGAACCCGCGCCTCCGCGTCGACGTGCATCCGTGGTCCACGCTCGACGACATTGCCGACGCATCATTGCGCGTGCTGCGACTATGGTGCGCCGAAGAGAAGATTGACTGGGCTCCAACCCAGTCACTCAAGGATCTTTGGGCCGCCCCGGGTCCCGGCCGCAGATGAAACCTGCGACAGTAGCTATATTCACCGACAAAAACCAGATGGCTGGTGTGTCAAGGAGGACAATTCCACCAGTCATCCATGTATTATGAGAGAAACAGGGGCTAGGCGAAATCCCGCCAGCGACATTTGAAAAAAGACACGAGGCGTCAGGACGTTTTTGAGAGTGGGAACAGGACGGAAAAGCCCAGGACGGGTTGTGCATCCACGGCGTTTTTAGTTGAAACACATCTTTCCTTTCATCACCCAGCACACACGGTGTCTGTCTACATGCTCTGCTATCTAGGATATCCCTCGCCCACCATTCAGGTTCCCTCTGTATTTTTTTTTTCTTCATTCCTGTACCATGATATCCCCTCCGTTTCATACTTTTTTTTAACCCGCCGTCCCCAGAGGGCGAGCATCATTTGCTTTTTGATTTCCAGATGCGATGTGTTTGAGCTAAAGGAGGTGGTGACGAGCGTGGATCGTGGCTTGGGTCTGGCACCGTGCGAATTAGCAGTAGATGAATGGAAATTTATGAAATCAGCACCGGAGGCCAACGTGCAATCCCTGAATTACATCACTGACATCATCGCCAGAGCAGCACTGGACCAAAGACAGTGTACAATGACGGGCAAACATTTCTTGACATTGTCTGGAGTAAAGAACACAAAGGCGTTCTTTTACACATGACGTGGGAGAAACTCCGACACTACTGACATTACGCCCACCACTAAATTCAGTCATACAATGGACGGAAACAGGCCATCTATTCTCAAGCAGTTATATATATATATATATACCCCTGCTTGCACCGCACCATCTGCAGAGAATATTTTGTTCATTTTCATTACAAACAATTTTTGGTCCCCAGCTGCCATTTCAAACTCGATTCTGGTTTCGTTTGGTTATTCTTTTACTATTTTTTCTTAAAAAAATTTTTGCCTTTAGGCCATTCTCGGGGACCGGAGCCAAAAAGTACTAGGGGGTTGCCAAAGTCATATTCCCGATGCAGGATATTGACAAGTCGGTTCCTGTTGTAGTAACTCAAGGGCAAAATTTACTTGCCAGCGTCAACCTTGGCAATGTAGGCAAGGAGATCCAGGACACGGCGGGAGTAGCCCCACTCGTTGTCGTACCAGGAGACCAGCTTGACAAAGTTCTTGTTGAGGGAGATGCCGGCCTTGGCATCGAAGATGGAGGAGTGGGTGTTGCCGTTCATGTCGGAGGAGACAACATCGTCCTCGGTGTAGGCGAGAATGCCCTTGAGGGGGCCGTCGGCAGCCTCCTTGATGGCCTCCTTGATCTCGTCGTAGGAAGCACCCTTCTCAATGCGGGCAGTCAAGTCGACAACGGAGACGTTGGCGGTAGGAACACGCATGGACATGCCAGTGAGCTTGCCGTTGAGGTCGGGGATGACCTTGCCGACAGCCTTGGCGGCACCGGTGCTGCTGGGAATGATGTTCTGGGCAGCACCACGGCCACCACGCCAGTCCTTGCCAGAGGGACCGTCGACGGTCTTCTGAGTGGCGGTGTAGGAGTGGACGGTGGTCATGAGACCCTCAACAATGGTGAACTTGTCATGGATGACCTTGGCGAGGGGAGCCAGGCAGTTGGTGGTGCAGGAAGCGTTGGAGATGACATCGGCCTTGCCGTCGTACGTCTTCTCGTTGACACCCATGACGTACATGGGGGCATCAGCAGAGGGAGCAGAGATGATGACCTTCTTGGCGCCGCCAGCCAGATGGGCCTTGGCCTTGTCGGTGGTGGTGAAGACACCGGTCGACTCGACGATGTACTCGGCGCCAGCGGACTTCCAAGGGATGGCGGAGGGATCGCGCTCAGTGAAGAACTTGACCTTCTTGCCGTTGACGACAAGGCCGTCGGCCTCCTTCTTGATGTCGCCCTTGAAAATGCCGTGGGACGAGTCATACTTGAGCATGTAGGCCTGGTAATGGCAAAAGGATTCCCAGTCAGCAAAGCGGCATTCGCAAAACTAAAAGCTGGCGTGGGGCTCCAGCTGCATGTTGTGGTGGCATGGACCTGCAGAGTCAAGTGAGGGGCAATGAAATGGGCCAAGGCAAGGAGGGGGAGGGGCAAGTCAAACAAACAGCCCATCCACGCCCAGCCAAGCCCACTCGGACACGGCGGCAGAAAGCAGGGCAACAGGGACAAAACTCACGGCGTATTCAGTGCCGATGAACGGGTCGTTGACGGCCACGACCTCAATTTCGGGGTGCTCGGCGGCGTTGCGGAAGACGATGCGGCCAATACGACCGAAGCCGTTGATGCCAACCTTGACGGGAGCCATTTTGCGTGTGTGTATATGGAGAGAGCTGGAGCTTGGACGTCAGCACGGAAATCCGGGAAGGTTGGAAGCTAGGGACGGAGCTGGTGTCGAGCCGTGGTCAAGCTCTGCTCAGTCAATGCATGGCGGGATACATACCGGACAAAGTGCCTGGTGGGAAGAATGGTGAAGTTGTAATATGAAGAGCGGGAAGAGAAAACAGAAAAGGAAGAGGAAGAGGGAGGAAGACGGAGTCGGAGGGGACGGAGGGAAGGCGGGACAAAATAGTAGTCGGTCTCTGGAGCTTGGGAGCTTGGGTGCTTGGCTGTGTTGCTGGGTGCGCAGCTGGCTGGATCTTGGCTGGCAACGGCGTCGGGACTGTTGAGACGTCAGAGGCCAACAACTGGCGCACGCAAAACTGGTCAAGTGGGTGCATGCATCATTCACACTCGCACCGCGAGACTGAGACGGGTTCTGATACACGAGCGGTAACTACTATTCATGCCACATTCAACTAGACCATATTTCAAACTGCCGGGCAAAGTCAGAAGCCGCGGGGGCCTTGATCCCCTCCATGTCCTCCATGTCCTATCATCGCCGTGGTCTTGCAAGTGGCCATCCAATATCCCGGCGCGCCGCTAAAGGTAAAATTCGCAGGTGATTCTTCCTTGCGCCATGTACGGAGTAATTTGATGAGGAATCGAATGAGCCGAATGAGCGTCAGCCATTGATGATGCTTTGACGGCCTCACCTTGCTCCACCCAGCCGATGCGTCTTTTTACGGATCCGGCGGGGACGCAATTCGTTAATAGCAACGCTCTCTCAACCACGCCGACGAGCACCACATGAGCACCACCTTGGAGCACCACCTTGAGAGAGGGAAAAAAAAAAGAACATGAGGGGTACCCGCTCCCCCCCGGTTGTCGCAGCCTGGCGTCCAAGTACCCCCGTGGTAGGACCTGCTGGCCTTATCGTGCCGTAGATATGCCTGCTGGCAGCAAGACCGCGAGTAATAGCTATGATAAATCACTCAAAACGTGCCTCCGGTCGCGGTGATGACTTGCTGCTGAGTCACCAAGGGTGAGGCGCGAGAGGGGACGACAAAAAAAGAAGAAAACAGACGGTCCAGACATGTCCAAATTGTACCGACACCACCTCTGTCGCACCCTCTGCAGCGGAATGCCCTCACGATGGCCTCAGTCTAATTAATTCCGGGGTGCCCCTCTGATCGCGTGGGCGGCTAGCGGGAAATCGTTCATCTGCATTGGGCCATTCATTCGCCCGTTTTGCCCATCTTTGCCGGAGCTTCACGGCTGCAAAGGCCCCAGAGCCGCCCGCAGCCGCGTCCGCCCGGGGATAGTCGTCGGGAACACCAGGAACAATTCTCGTCGTCCCGAACTTTGTCCACATGGAATACAAGCTCCTCGGAAGCTTTCAATCGTAAACATCCACCTGTACCGGGGCAACATGCCGATACGTCAATCGTCAACCCCCGCGTCTAAGCCCAATACTTGGTCTTGCCATCCATCAAATCGTCTCCACCAATGTGTGCAATTATTACTACTTTTCCTCCTACACGGCAGACATTCTATTGTGGTGTAGACAGTCTCGCAGCTGGCTAATGCTTCACTCGAGTATCAGCAAAATCCTGCGCCTTCACACGTCAGCAAATAGCGGGTGACGCACGCTTCGGTCCGCATGGAATAATCATGACGCAAAGGTGGCCGCCGTCGTCCAATCGTCCTCGCCGCTGCCAGCGCTCCGGAATTCAATGCCCTGTGCAAAATACCCGGCATCCTGCCACGCCTTCATGGTCGCCTTGTCAAACGGGCCTTGCTTAGCTCCGTCATCACGGCCATCTGTCCATCGGAATTCCCATTGTTGGATTGGTGGCTCGACAGTAACAGTCGCCCCGTGCTCGACATCTTGATGTCGTGACGCCGGTTCGACCCAATCTTCGCCGGTTTCGCGCCGGTATGCCCGTATGAGCAACTCGCGATCCTGGTCGTAAACCTCTTCGTAGTCACGGCTGAGCAATTTGTCAGCCGCATCAGTGATGGCATTGATGGATTCCTTGATTCGCGTCTGCTCCGCGTCTTGGGCAGAGTCCTTGTTGTCCACTTCCATGTCTTCTGCGCCCTTGTTCATCTTCTTGAGCTTCCACTTGGGTATCTTCTTGGTTTTGGTCTGGCCTCTGCCCAGTCGAGCCAGGGCCTCGAGGGGCGACTCTGACGGTTCCAATTGCAGGATCAAGGTCCTGAGCATGTCAGAGACGAGAACGTCGGCTTCTTCAAGGCGCTGCTGTCGCGCTTCAGCTTCGCGCTTCTCATGCGCGGCAGCTGCCTTCTTCATGTCTTTTTTGCTCACGCCGTCTAACCAGTTGTCATGGACGGCGTCTGGGTCGGCTGCTTTGCGCACGTAGTTGCCAGACTGGTCAAACTGGCCTTCTTCCATCTCGGCTTGCAAGTTGAAGGCCTCGACCTTTGGCGCATTACGCTTCAGACCGCCTGCACCAACTTCCTCGTCTACGCCCTCCTCTAGGGCTGCCAGTTGTGCTTCAGTCTCGTCGTCCTCGCTGTCGTTGTCGTCGAGCCTCACATGGCCACCACTCTTGCTGCCGTGTTCCTGGCCCATGATCTGCGTGGCATCGAGAAACCGGACATCCTTCTTCTTCTTTCCAGACTTGTCAAAGTCAGCGTCTTCATCCTCCCCCTTGGGTGCGTCCGCCTCGCCGCCCATGGCAAACATGTCCTCGTCGTCGTCGTCGTCGTCGTCGTCCGCACCATTCACATTACCCCCCGAGGCTGCTGCAGATCCTGCGGCATCGTAGTTATCCAGCTGCTCATTAATATCCACTTTGCCCTTCTTGCGGCTCGCGGCCTTGGCATTGAATGTTTCGTTGTCCGAGTCGCTATCGTAGCCGTCTAGATTCACGGCACCGCGCTTTGTGGCATGCCGGCCGCCGATGACGTCTGCATCCAGGACAGCGTCCTCCTCTCTTGAGTCAGGAGCCAGTATTGACGGATTTCGGACGTCAAATTTGGCGTTGCTAGTGTCGCTGCCTGCTTCACCGTGGTGGGTGCGAGCAAAGTCCTCGCCAGCTCGATTTGGCCGCGCCGCCGAATGCCTCGAGGACATGGTGAATGAAGGAATGGAAGATGGCACCTCGTGCTTTGTGTAGCTATTGCAAGGATGAGCCAATCGAGGGTCGATGCCTCCACGCTCCGAGGTGTTTCTGAAGATGCGTGATTGCGACTTGAATCTACGCAGTTGGAGCCTCCAGACCCGATGTATGATAAATGTCGACTGATTTTGACATCTGGAAGAATCCAAGTTCGACGCTAGCGCCGCCCTTCAGTGCATCGTGGTGCTAAGCTTGAGCCACACCTCTCTCCAGGTGTCCCCGGTTGTGCGCCACAGAGGACTTTGCGTCATTCGTAGAGCTGCCTTCTGTGTTCCATGTTGAATGTCATGTTCCACGCCACCTGTTGGGGAGAAAAGTGGACTCGGTCGCGTTATATGGTGATATGAGGGGTAATAATACTAGGGACACTTTAGGCACAAATAATAAAAAGAGAGATTAATTAATATAATTAATACCTTAAATTATTATATAGTTTTAATAATAAGATTAAGACTATTATAATTCTAATACCTTTTTTTATTTCTTTCTTAACTTAATATAAGTGCTAAACACTTAATAAAGCTTTTAATTTAGGAAAATAAATAAGGGATATTAAGTTTAATATTAATATTTTATAACTTCTTTAGTTAGCTTTTATCTTATAATAATAGATAATACACTTAATATAATATTATAAGAAGCTAAAGAGTAACTTAGTTAAGGCTATTATAATATTATATTGTAATATATTACATTATAATATAATATAATACAGTATAGTAAAAAATACAAAAAATACAATACATTTAAAGGTCTAGTAAAGATAAACGTAAGATAAATACTACTTATTAACTTTATTACTTATTTAACTAATAAAGAAATAAACGCTTAGCTTTAAAAGTAAGTGTTAAATAGATTATTTACTATACTGACTTTAAATAAGTAAATATAAGGGATAGCTATTAAAGGTTTAATAATAGCTAATTTTAAGATTATTCTTTATAATAATCGCTTATTTACCTTAAAAAAGATTATAAGATAATATAAGAAATTAACCTTAATAATAAGTATAAATTTAATTCGCGTATTAATAAACTATTAAATAAAATAAGATAAGTAATAGACTAAATAATAAGTAAAAAGAGATAAGAAAATATTTAAACTTATTAAGTAATTAAAAGCATTTAAGGTTTAAATAAACCTAAAATTATTAAGATTATATAAATAATATAAAAGGCTTAATTATTACACATAAATAATTTAAACTTTTAATTTTAAAGGGACTTTAAAATACCTCTTAAATATTTAAAGAGAGATATAAAGAGGTTTATCTTTTATAATTATAAACTTAAATAATTTAAAAGCCTTTAAATAATAGCTAAACACGTTATAATATAGCTTTACTTCATTAGACTTTAAAGAAGTCCTAGAATCTACGCTAAACGCTTAAAGAATAAAGT